CTTTTCCGAAGACACCGTCTCCTCCTCCGAAGACAGCGTCTCCTCTTCCGATGACGCCATCTCCTCCTCCGATGACAGCTTCGCCTCCTCCAAATACACCATCTCCTCCACCGAAAACAATATCTCCTCCTCCGAAGAAACCGTCTTCTCTCCCCATGACACCATCTAATCCTCCCAAGACACCGTCTCCTCCTCCGAAGACACCGTCTCCTTCTCCGAAGACAGCATCTGCACATCCGAAGACAACGTCTCCATCTCCGAAGACACCGTCTCCTCCTCCGATGACAGCGTTACCTCCTCCGAAGACACCGTCTCTTCCTCCCAAGACACCGTCTCCTCCTCCCGGGACACCATTTAATCCTCCCACGACATCGTCTCCCCCTCCCAAAACACCATCTCTTCCTCCGATGACACCATCTCCTCCTCCGATGACAGCGTCGCCTCCTCCAAATACACCGTCTCCTCCACCGAAAACAGCATCTCCTCCTCCGAAGAAACCGTTTTCTCTCCTCAGGACACCATCTAGTCCTCTCAAGACACGGTCTCCTCCTCCGAAGACAGTATCTACACTTCCGAACACAGCGTCTCCTCCTCCGAAGACAGCGTCGCCTCCTCCGAAGACACCGTGTCCTCCTCCGATGACAACGTCTGCTCTTCCGGAGACATTAAACTTTTTCATCATTTGCTGATTGAACCGCTTATCAGCAACTTTTTGTTCTGTCATCATTATGGCATATGTTTAGCTATAGCCTTCTGCATTAACAGACAATTTTCATCAACTAGGCAATCGAAATAATTATCACTTTTGGGGATTCACTCAATATTGATTGTAATTAACCGAATTTCGGTTGGTAAAATCCGACATGTTTGGGTTGGATTTCGAGATTCGAATTACGACCGAAGAATTTTGAAGCTCAGTCGAAATTTCAGAACATCGGGAAATCGATTCTGTCTCATTACTACCGAGCCAATGCTGAGGAACAGCATAAAGTTACTATTAATATAACGAACTTAATATAACTCCGTTTTCTAACTCGGCTCCCACTTACCACCTGCGCTTAGTATGTTGCTTAGTATGCTTAGTATGTTGCCCACTTCTTCGCTTTCATCGCCACCCACTTCATCGTCATTAACCAAAAATATCTCATAAAAGCTACGATATTTCCTGAACATGGCCA